AAATGACTGAACATTTAAAAATGATATTTAGTAGCCACTTTATAAGAGAACTCTTTTACCATTTGGGAAAAGGATAAATAGAAACATGCATGTATAAATAGATTTTTCCAGAAAAGAAAGGATAACTACAAAATATCATGAAAAAGAAATCTTAAATCATTGATTCTATTGAAGAAATGAAATCTTAAAGTAAAAAATATTGTAATGATGGAGAAAAAGCTTTCTACATCAGTGACTATGTATATCAAACAAAAGTGAAAACTTGAAGTATTAGTTGAACAGAATAGCTTAAGCAATAAAAATCAATATTTCTCTCTTCTTCAATTTCGGCTCATGAGTAGGTTTTCTTTTACTCAACAAATCACATAAGAACAAAACAAAACAAATCTACGAGACCAGATTTTATCCACATATTTTCATTTGAATATTAATGATTATATTTATTCCCTGTTTTATATGTTTACACAAAATTTTTCTTTCTATACTTCTTATGTGTTTGCCTTAGTAGCATTTGACTTTTAAACCAATCAGGTAGAATCAGAGTGACATTGGGTTAACCTGCTTATTTCATGACTTGTATAATTTCTGTAGTGAATGTGATGCATATTCAAGTACCTGTTGCTCATGATACTTATCGATGAGTTTGACACTCTTGTAGCACTATCCACGAAATCTTAGACACATGATTCATTTCAGCTTGGCTTGTAAATTAGAATTCATCTTGATGGAAGCACGTGCTCTCACTGAAGTACTAATCTTTAACCACCAGTGCAGGTATAAACAAGGAATTAAAGTTCATTCCATGGACAAAGTTAAAAAACTCTGTGCAGATTCAGGGCTCATCCTTCAATGACTTGTGTTTATATTTTGAGAATCATAGCATGTAACATTTTCTTAGCAATACACGTGAATCTGATTCTTAGGCAGTGCTTTAACAAATTCAGCATTTAAAGACATATGTGTATTTGCATCTTCATCTACAATTACTTATTTGTTGAAGTTTTATGTCCTTAGTTTAGCTATTTATTGAAAATTCTCTATATGGAATAGAAGCATAAATGCTGTATGTTTCTAATAAGAACCACCTCTGGTTATCTTCTACACAGAATAAAACTTCTTATCTAAGTACCAACTACAGGCATAATAGCATAATAGATTCAAGGGAATAAATTCCAGGTCACCTCTTATATGTATTTGAGAAAAAAATCCCAGCAAATCCAATATTTTGGGTGTGCCAAGAAATGACTACTATTCTAAGCTGGAATTCCTTCTGCTTTTGCATAGATATTGCAAAAATACCTATTTTTTTTAGTCCAACTCCAAATTTTTGATTTTAATATTTTTCAATTTTCTTACTGTGTTAGAAGATCCTCTCTTATTGAAAGGGAGAAATTGTAATCTAATTTTATACATTTTCAAGTTTTAAGATTCATAACTATACTGAATGGAATGAGCAGTCCTGTAAAAATAAGATTATTGTAAAAAATTTGAAATACTTTGTGTGAAAGAGCATTTATTTTGCATTCATGATTACTTTATATTTCTGTGCTTAGTATAGAAACTCACTTTCTTTACTAATGTCCAAGTGCCAAAGAATTCCCATATGTCAGCACCAACCAAAGTGGGGAAAATGATCTGAGAATCTTTTAAAAGGTGTACATAAATTAATGCTTAGTTAATATTTGGTATTTTGACAGTTTCTTCTTATAGAACAAGCATAATTTACCTGGTTATAACACAAATTGTTTGATACTACAAATTGTTGGTAATTAGATTGATTTGGCACATTTAGTTGCAACACCAAGAGCTTCCTCATTAATTCAGAAAGTGTGCCTAAAGGGTAAGCCCAGGGCCTACATAGAGGTATGAAGTATCTACGCAGCTAACTGTAGAAGGTACAAACTTTAAAAAGTGGAAGGAAAATGCATGCAAGCATTATTTCACCAGCTCTTTCTTTAGATGTTAATCTTTTTCACATTGCTTAATTTTAATGGATTTGTTAACTTACACTTGTTTGCTGAAGAGATATTTCAAGTAGGAGCTGGCTCAGTTTTGTGTAAGATAGTTAATTTTTGGCTGAGTGTTCTGATAATAGCAATGGACTTGAGAATATAAAATTTAAATAACTTTACTTGCTTCTGCATATTGAACTGAGATTTTTTTTTCTTCCTTTTGTGTTGTAAACATACCAGGGATGGGGCTTGAGAGATGGGCCAGCAGTTAAGAGCACTGGCTGCTTTTGCAGAGGACCTGGGTTCGATTCCTAGACCCCACAGGGCAGCTAACAATTCCAGTTCCAGGGTATCTGATGCCCTCTTCCGACTTCTGTGGGCATTGCATGACACAGGTGCACTTGCATACATGCAGGCAGTATACTCATACACTTAAAATAAGAATAATAAATAAAATATTTAAAAAACACAAACTGGGGACATTGTACAGTATTCAAAGAAAGCCATCACAATCAGATTTGAGAAAAGGTTTACACATGGAAAGCATGGGGACAAAGAGAAAATAAATAAAAAAAAGGGCACTGGAGAATAGCAAACAAGGTCAGGAGTAAAACTTAATCAAAATGGTTAAACTTTATCAAAAAGGTGTAATTGGATGAAATATAACCTGAAGTTGATGAGGTGGTAATCTCACTTCCTGAGTTATTCGCAATTAGGATAAACCACCAACACTAATATAAATCTAGTGAAATAAGAAATAACTTCCAAAGAATCTTTTCCTTATCTAATTCCTCTAAATATTTTTGTCTGTTAACAAGAGTTTTGACATATCTATAATTAGAGAAAGCTACTTACTTACTTTTAATAAATAACATACTGATATTAAGTACTATATTATGTGATGTATATTTACACTGGTTAATATTGTGAAACTTGCTTTCAGTGTTCTTACTGAAAACTTATTAAACCATTAACCAGTTACTGACTTTTCTTTACAATGTATGATCAATCAGTCTATAATTAACTATTAATGCCCATATGTCCAACTAGAACCCTTAATCTCAAAGCATTGTTAATGGTGTTCACTTTAATTAAAACAAGGTCCTTCTTGTTCCTTGAAAAGGTCTTTTTTCTTCCCAGATTTCAGAAAAGATAATACTTTGTAAAATATAGCAATATTAAATTGTTCTTTGTAATGAAATCCAACTGAGGTGTCACTTTCTTATAAGCCATGTTTATAGCCTTGTGAACAGAGTCAGGTCTCCCACTGTATTCCCCAAACACAAAAGCTTTATGGGCTTCTAATTAAATGAATGCTTTACAATGGCAACCATAACAGTATACATAAAGTCCAACCTCCCCCCAGAGAAATCTCACCAATCTCTGTCGATTTCTCTCACTTAGCTATCTTTTTGTTGTTGTTTTTGTTTGAGACAGGGTTTCCCTGTAGCCAGAGCTAGCCTGGAACTTGCTATGTACACCTCGCTGGCCTAGATCTTCCACCTCCCCAAGTACTGGAATTAAAGCATATGCCACCATGCCCAGCTACACTTAGCTATCTTGTATTTCCCTGAGACAAGTGGCATAGCCATTTTTTGAAGACTTCCTCCAACAGTACTCTGCAGTATACAGATTACATATAAATGTATATGTATGTA